TATATTATAGTTCTGCACTGCTAATGAGAGGGAAAAATAATTTTTATAAGAGATACCTGTGTAATTTATTTTTGAAAGCTTTCTTGAGTATCTAAAATTTCCTGCCACTTTGACAATTTCTGCATTTAGGAAAATGTATTACTTGAAAACAAGACATAGAACACTGAATTAGCAATGCATGTGTTCCGTATGATATGTAACAGAACAACACACTGTGGCTAATTCTATGCTAGATTGATTCTGTTAATCTGTACAACAGTTGGTCCTTTTGCTATAACAGTATATATTGAGGGTATCATCTTAGTGTGTCAAAGCCAAAGTTTGGAATTTACTATGAGAATAGAATATATATTGAATTTTGTATAAAGAACTATTTGTTTATGTTACAGAACAGATATTTTGCCACTTTTAAAGTGATTTCAGAAAGGTTCCTAGGAAACTAAGATTAGTGATAAGTGTAGGTTTATGTGTAGAAACTTAAGGTACATTTTCATAGTATGAAAATATTAGTAAAAGGCACAATGGTTACTAAAGGATTAAAAGATCTAACAAATGCCAATTCCACTTTAACTATGTTTCTGCATTTGCAGAGTGTATGTAGTTTTTACAAGATGAAAACTGGGCTAGGTGTAACTATGCTGCAGGAAAGATGAAATTATTTATGTCTGTCTTTGTTTCTTGTTATTCTACAAAGCTGATGTGTAAGCATCAAGTTGATTTCATTGGTGCATGAGGAAAAGTGGATGTGATCTGTAAGGAAACAGAGTCCCATGTAAAGACATTGAAAAAGGCACTGAATATTGAATGCCATTTTCAACGTCTTTACATGGGACTCCATACTGTAGTCCTATGGGTCAAATGTGTAGATTTTTTTTTTTTTTTTTGGTTTTTTCGAGATAGGGTTTCTCTGTGTAGCTTTGAAGTCTCCTGGCACTTGCTCTGGAGACCAGGCTGGCCTCGAACTCATAGAGATCCACCTGCCTCTGCCTCCCGAGTGCTGGGATTAAAGGCGCACGCCACCAACACCTGGCTAAATGTGTAGATATTTTTAAACATTTTGCCATAATTGCACCATTTTTTGCATTTTTACATGATGTCATTGTTTCTTTTAATAAGACCTTTTCATACTGAAAAATATTTTATTAAAAAAGAAAGAAACTAAGGCTCAGAGAGCTCACTACATTGCTGAAAGTCACACAGTGAGTGAGTGGTACTTTAAATTCAAGTCTGGTTCTGAGCTTAGATTCTTCTACTTAGTTCCATTTTACTTCTCCAATGTACACCAGCACTGGCATATTCAAATACCCTTCGACTGGGATGTGTACTGGAGATCTCCACTGTGCTGCCTAGCCCTATCCCCGGGACAGAGTGAAGATGCTAAGGATGGAGGGGGCCTTGAGATCTGTCCTAGCAAGGGATAACACAAGACAGGCTGCCCAGCCAAAACATGCCCATTAATGGCATCTCCTTCTAATATGTAAATCTCAGAGTAAATCCTGCAAATCTGGTCTTAACGCAAACACCCCAAGGGGTAGAGGAAGCTCCTCTTGTAGTACTCATTGCTCTTCAGGCTCTGTCAGCTGGCCAAGCCATAGTGAAGCAATCCTCAGCCCAGCTGTGCAATTATTCACCACCATCTCATTCTTATAAGAGCTCAACAACCTTGGCAAATGTCAGCAGTCAAACTGTGAACCAAATTGACAAGGCTTTCTCTTTTCAAAGAAAAAAATTGAGTAAGTGATAGGGATTTGATGAGACAAATGAGAAAATGTCACCGGTTGTAAGACTGGGCATGGAACCCATAGTCTAAGGTTTTGATGGTACAAAAGAGGGCCTCAAGACTTATTCAGACAAAATCCCACAGGACCAATCTGAATTTCAAAGCATCATTTGAGAAGGTAGGCATAGACTGAAGGCCTGGCCACATCTCTTAGGGTTGGTGACTCATGTTTGCATCCCTGTGGGTAATATATAATCCTCAGGGTTAGTTTGGCCAAATCTGCTCCCCTGACAAAGTGACCAATCCTGGACTCTAAGAGTTGGGGTCTGAGGCCCCAAGGCAGGATCAGCACACGCTGTCTGATATGAAGCTAAGCCTAATTTCCAGGTATTTTTTTCGTTGATCTTCTGTGAATTGTAGCAGCTTCATACTAGGCAATCAGAGCACTTCCTCATCTGAAGGGAAGAAGCATCCAGCTCCAGGTTTTCTTCTTGGGAGAGATGCCCATCAGGATGGAATGCAACTGTCTATCAACAAGTCAGCATCTGCTGTAAGGGACAGCCAGGTCTGTCCTCAGAGGAGGCTAGCATGATGGTAGACTTTACACATGCAAAGCCTAGTGTTGACTTAAGGACAAGAAGTTGGGAGAGAAGGAAAGGTTGGGTAGGCCCAAGACTTGGAAGACTGTCAAAGAGGCTTGCACCTGAACTCTCACAACTCCATCCCCAACTGCCTGCCATGACTCAGTGAGACTGTCAGGGGTCTTTGAGTGTGGGAACCGAGGGAAAAACTGAAGCCCAGACAGATTCAGTCACTTACCCACCACACCATGGTGGCTTCTAAGAGCTCCCAGGTTATCCCCAGCCACATTTGAAAGACACACTGGCCTGTGACTAACAAGCTGGAAGCTATTAGACTGAAGTTAGCCTGGGAGATGGAAAGGCTCTGTCCACAGAGTATCAAGCCCACAGAAACAAGGAACAAAGTTTCAAGAGGCAGGGCCATCTCCAAGCCAATCTTATTTAGCCTGTCTCCAGGTTGTGGGCTGTTGTCTCTGCCAGGGCTCCATCTGTCTGGTTCAGAGAGGCCACTGAACTGCAGATTGAGAACTATGGACCCCAAAATTCTCCTTAAACCTTTGTCTTCTTCTCTGACTTTGCCCCAGCTCAGTCACAGGACAGCCTGTCTTGCTCATTCCTCTTTGTATTGTTCCTTGCTACCAGCACCCTGGGCTCCTGCTAGCACTTTACATCTTTCAAAGCAATCATTATCTTACCTGGTGACATATATGACTGACTTATATGTCACATAAATATATGTTTTTTCTCTACTATAATGCAAGCCTACATAGTGCAGGGACTTAACTCTGATTTATTGGTGCATATACCAAGAGCTTCAAAGTATCCAAACTGAGCTTAATAAATACTTGTTGGATAAATGAAGGTTCACTAACTAGCTTATTGAGAGACCTTGTTTAAAAACTGCCTGAGAACCTGATGAGAAAGGTTCTGTGATAATGTGATGGGGGTAAGCTCACTAGTGACAAGTGTCTGTCAGACCCCCAGGTTCTGTCTCCTAGTATCACTTAGAGGGCAGAGAGAACTTTTGAGAGTAGCAAAGAATCAGGGACAGAGAGGGAAGGCCTTGGCAAGCTCAGCCTTGAAGGTCCCAGGGAGCGGGAGAAGGGTTAGGCAGGGAGAAGCAAGGTGGCTCTGGCTAATCACTAGAGCCACTGCCTGGCCTGTGCCCAGTGCCCTGACCACCTCATTCTTGTTATCCCACCAAGATCAAGGATGCAAAGCAATGTTCCCCACAGCAGGAAAAAGCATCCTTGATGGAAAATCTATCCTGAGACCTAATGGTGGTGGTGACAAAAAGTCTGTCTCCACTCATATTGCTCATCATGATGTGAGCCAGGGCCCCTTTACACTGGGGGTGGAGAGAGAACAGATGACCAGACAGGTCAGGGAACTTGAAGGCAAACAGCTGACCAATGCTCTGATACTGGCCAGGATACAGCTGTGTTGATTTCTTGGCTGTTTGTGTCCCTCCATGTCACCTCCTCCTGGTCTTTGGGGGAACTTCATGCCCATGTGGGGAACCCAGGAAGGGGCTAGGTAATGCTATTTATCTCTCTGTGGGGATTATTTCTATACACTTTTCCCTATAGATGTTAGGGTGTCAGTGGGAACAGAACTCCCAGTTACAAGACAGGGGCAACTTGGAACTTTTTGCTAAGATGACACCATGAAGCTGGATGCGCCCCAGCTCAACAACACAGGAGCCAAACAGAAGTCCTGTAGACAGGACGTTCAGCCCTGCACGCTGACCTCAGCAGGAACCAGGCCAACAGATTAAGTTCAGAAGAGCACAGTTTGGCTGGGGGCTCACTTTTTCTGGAGGTTAAAAATGTGCCACAGATACAAAGTAATTCTTGTCCACAGAACACTTCACTATCCACTAAATCACAGCTCGTTCCCTGCTTCCCTCCCTCCAAGCTAACTTCTGCACTGCTACCCAAATCATCCTTTGAGAACATAGGATGTAGGCTTCAGAAGCTCACTCTAGCCCAGTGAGAGGGTGAAATTCCTTAACATCACGACAGTGCTGTGTGTTGCTCTCGCTCTTTGTACACCCTTACACTCTGCTACCCCAAAGCCAGGTGACATCAGACATTCTGTCCTCTCATTTCATTTCAGTCCTGTCTGCCTATCTTTATACATGTTGATCACTTCTTACCACACCCTATCTCTCTGTCTAGAAAACTATACCTGTGGAATCTGTCACACAGGTCTCCCATCACTGCCTCCGTTCTTATAATCTTGTCCGTTATACATCTCACAAACTTCATGAACAGTACTGTATTAAGTTTATTGTGTAAAACTACTATTTGCTTAAGCCAGGTATGCCAAAGTTCAGCAATGCCACATATTAAATGTGTGACTATTCTTATGATGGGATGGTGTTTCCATCCACATTGTAGCATAGGGTCCAAAGCTTCCCCTTTATTTTCTCAGTATCTGGGCAGGGCTCAGCATTCTGGTGCCCAACGAACACTTTCTATGTGAGAGTGATGCTGGCAGTGCAGGCTCAAGCTGTTTTGCTAGATGCATACACTAAACAAAACCCAAACCGGCTCTAGGACTGTTGTACAATATCTAACAAACATTCATTCCAGCCAAACCTAGCTCCAGATGTTTGGCTGTGCTGGCCAAATGGAGCCTGAGAACATCTCAGAACATGCAGGGGGTGGAGGAGGCGATGATTTAGGGATGACTACCTTTCTGGCAGGAGAAACAGAGTCGGCAGCTGGTGGAGAGGAAAGAGCAGCTGGATCAGGAGACGGAAGGCAAGAGGGAGGAGATGGAGAATGAGTGTGAGGCAGACGTTTAGACAGTTTATCCTATGTGGAACAGAGACAGGAAAGAAAGTAGGATTATAGCAGTGGCAGGTGTAGCAATCATGCTTTTAACATACCTACGGAGGAGCAGATACCGAGGTCCATGTCTCAGGATGACACAGAAGTGTGTCTTTAGAGTCAAGTGGGACTATGTGGCTCCTGGCTGAACTGCATTCTGCTATAGCTCTGGCTCCCTGAAATACCCCTGAGGAGACCGATTCTGCTCCTGTCTAGAGCTGCCCCAGACTGCAGTGCTCCTAAGAAGCCCTCATAGAAGAGATTGGTACAAGGAAGCAGCTGCAGGTTCAGGAGGGGAGAAGCCTGAGCCAACAGGGGGTGGGGGACAGCCCACCATAGCTGGGGCGTCTGTAGCTGTAGGCACACATTTGTGTTGGCCTCCTGGAGGCTGCTAGCACCCTGGCAATGAACTTAATGCAGAATATTCCTCCTCCATATGTGACTCCACTGACAGCTAGAAACACAGGAGGAGGCTGAGTGAAGGTGTTCTAGAGACAGCTTGCTGACGGTGGAGGATTTCACAAGTGTACCCCCACCCTCGCCCCCACCTCCTGGGCTTCACTATTACTCGAAGTTCCTGCTCTGCTAGCATCAGAACATCAACTCTTCTTTTTCCACCAGTTACGAAGTAAGTAGGTGGCCTGGAGGAAGCTCTACTTCCCATGCTAAGGCAAAGTTTCTTGCATTAGCTTAGCGTTGTTTCTCTGAGAGACAGAGCTGAAGTTGAGGCTTACCTCCCCGACTGGGGGGATGGGCAGTAGCAGCATGAGCAATAGGCTTGCTTTCACATTTAAGGCACCCAGAGCCTTGCAGCTGACCAGCAATCCTTCTAGTCTACTAGAAACTATCTAAGCACACATGCATCCAAGCTGCGGTCCCCAGGCCACGTACATTCCAGGATATCTATAAATGTGATCAAGTACATTTGTGGATGACAGCATCATATCCCAAAGTCAGAAGGTGGGGCACCCTTGACTAGGGTTGTTTCATTTGACTTAGTGTTACTTTTTATGAACTTAGGGCCTCAGTGTGTAGCCATGGCTGTCCTGGAACTCACTATTAGACCAGACTGGCCTCGAGCTCACAAGGATCTACTTGCCTCTGCCTCTGCTGTGTTGGAATTAAAGGCTTGTGCCAGCACAATCAGCCCAACTAGGGTCTTAAAGCCCCTGTTTTTGCTGGGTAGGGGTTTCTTTTCACTTGAGCTTACTCCCCTGCCTCCATTTCCCCTTGTCATAATGTATCTATCTCAAAACTATACATCTGGGTCTCTTAGATGCAAGCTCAAATTTATCAATGGCATTAAAAAGCGAATTGCTTCTATAGAAAAGAAAGAAGAGAACTGAGCTTCTGGGGCTTGTTCACAGCCACCTAGCTAGACATCCAGCTCTGGTTCCTGAAGACTCTGAAAGCCCCTGGTTTACCTGTGGGAAATCCCCGTTTCCAAACATGGAGGCCAGGTGAGCTGCCTTCTCTTTAATGTTCTTTTTGTGGAATTCCCTGTTAGCCAAGTTCTGGGCCCTCTTCTGCAGTCAAGGTGAGAAAGGAGAAAGATGGTGACAGTGACCATGAGGGTCACCTCCAAGGGAGAGGGGAAGAAGTGAGCCAGACTTGTCTCTTCACACACAGCAGACAGAGGAATAGGGAAGGAAGCAGAGGAAAAGGGACCGGCTCCAATGGATGAGGAGCAGGTGGAATGGGACATGGACACAGGTAGGCAGAGAGGGTGGTCACCTGAAGAACCTTTTCTTCTACTTGCTGCAGCCGCCGCAGCACCCCAGAGAGGGCCAGTGCCCCTTGGCAGGTGGGAGGTAGGGCAGCGAGATTTTCTGGCCCGCCCAGTTGCAGGTCTGACTTGGCCCTGGCTCTCCAGGGTCTGCTTGGGCACTCGCCACTAGCAGGAACTTGATTGAGTTCTCTGAGCACCTGTCCTGCTGTCACCACAGAAGAGAACTGGGAGAGAGGTGGAAGTCAGCTTACTTCCCTTTAGAGGCCCCACCCCCATGAGGAACCCCCATAAGGACTAGAGATAGAGGGCACAGAAGCAGGTGCCACCTTGAGAATTGTCTGACTAGGTTGGGTGGAGGAGGAGCTTCTGCACCTGAATTGGTATCTCCAGCACTCAGTCCTGGGCCTCACCCAACAGCCCTCCAAGAAAACCTCTGTAGCCCTGGTTCCCATGCATTTCTCTAGCCTGAGACTGCCTAGGATACCTTAAGGAAGGTCTGACCCATCCCATTAGGGGCTGTGATTGGCCTGAGTATGCAGGATACACGGGTAACCTTAAAAACTTCCTCATATGACTGATACACAAACACACACACTGTTGCTGCATCCTACCTCCACCTACTGCTATCCATCTCTGGGACCCAACATACAACACTCAGTGCTGACCAGATGACCCTGGAATTTGTGGGCACTCATCCTGACTCTGTCCAGATTCCAAAGCCAGAGATGGGATAGGCCACAGTGTCTCCATGCAGGCTCTGGCTGCTCAGACATCTGGAAAGGCGTTTACCATGACTCAGGCTCACTCTTTCAGTGGGTGTAGCCATGACTTCCCCACCACCCTGTCCATTATACAATTGCTTTTTCGATAACTTGGAAATCAGCTCATTCACTAGCCCCTCTGTACTAAAGCATAGCACAGGAATTCTCCAAAGTGGTCACATGGAGATGTTTACGTTTCCCCCAGGCAACAGCATCAGAGTATACATGGTTGGCTGGCTAACAGGGACCAGTTGCATATACTTCAGGTGCTGCCTATGTAGTTGCTCTTATCCATAAGGATAGTGACCTTGAACTGTGTCTGCCTCCACAGGGATTCTACATTCATCCATACATGGATGCTGGAAGGAGCCACGGATCCCACCCCTTGGCTCAAAGCCCCCTCCCCCTGGCTTTACCAAAACAGTATCTACTGGAGAGAGCCCTACCTGCCTTATCAGAGGTGGTGGAAGCCTGGGAGTGGACTCCTCCAGCTTGGGGCAGCGAGAGGTAGCAGGAGGGCGAGAGGCAGAGCACAAGACAGGCTTACCTATGCCGGAGACACGGTGGCAGTCCTGGGAGGGGAAAGCAGTTCACAGAAGCAGCCCCAGAAGACAGGAAAGAAGAGACAAGTGAGAAAAGGCATGTGGAATGGCGAAGAGGGAAAGCAGACTGGGAGACTCCGCCATGTGGAGGAGCGGAGATGGGACTGGCTAGGTTCCTGCAAGCCCGGCCCGGCTCGGAAACTGGATCCCTGGCTCTAAAGCATGTAGATGGACAAGTTCTCTAGTCCCCTGCTCTGGGACAATGTGTGAATCCCACAGGCCTTGCTTTTGGCTCAAACACAGGGCTCTGGGCCATCAGTGCCAGCCTACACCAGGCTAGGGTGGCCAGCACAGTCCTCCTAGAAACAGAGACTGTCTAGCCCACTCCAGGACAGGGATGTCCAGGCCAAAAGAACAGTCAGGCCTCCAAGAGTGACCGTTGAAACTATGTATAGACAAAGACAAAACTGAAGAAAATTGCCCTTTTGTACAAATCTTCTTCCTAGGGAAGTTTAGTTACTCATGATGGGTTTGGCTAACCTTAAGACCAAGGAGCCATTCATGTTTGCCTCTAAAGTTAACCAGGAAAGAAACTGCCCCCTTTTCCCCACCAAATGAGCCCAATTTTGTCATGGCACTAGTGTCCAGCATTGACAAAAGGAATCTGGCTCCAGAGTTTTATAACACAACAACATATCGAAACATGACAACATACATCCAAAGGCAAGAGAACAGAAAAACCAAGCTATGGGCACAGACTTCAAGTGAGGACTCTGCATAAGCCACAGAAGCCAGCCTGCCCTGTCAAACACAGAGCCCCTGCAGGGCCTGTTAGGGCATGGGGGGAATGAGAGATGCCAGGGAACACTAAGGAAGTCAGTCAAGCCCTTGCTATTATCCGAGCCAGCACCTATGGTCAGGGTGCCTCATCTCACCAGGGATTCGGGCAGTCCTCTCCCACACAGACTCTCAGCTTGAGTTGTCCCATCTCACACTGGCTACAAATCACATTTTGAGTGCAAAACCAAATTAGGAAGTAGATTTAATTACTGTAAGATGGGCACCATCAAACTGCTGCTCACAGGCAGAACACAGGGGCCTGTTGGTGTAAATAGGTTTCTACTGGAATGTTATCACCCCTACTTGTCGAGGGATCCAGTATAGAGGCCTAATGTTCTAACAGGATGGTATGACTCCAAAGTAGAAATGAGCTGCTATCTGACCCCACGGAAACATGAAAGTCTGCTCTTTCATAACCAGGGGCATGAAGCATGAAGTCTTTTTTTTTTTTTTTTTTTTTTTTTTTTTTTTTTTTTTTTATCAGACCTGGGTGGCAAACTTTAGCCCATCTCTAGCCAGCAGGGTTCTGCCACTGGTAGGGTAGGTCCAATGACCACATGACAGCATTACCTGTTTCAGAGCTGCAGGGTTCCGTGTGCTCTCCTCAAACTTGGCTAATAGCTGATTGGCCATGGACTTGACTTTGTTCTGATTGCCACTTTCTCTAGCACACTCTTGAATGGAGCCCAAGCTACGGCTGGAGAAGGCTGGCAGCTGCAAAGGTTAAAACAGCACATTGGGATTCAGGTATCATCAGGACATAGGGCTCCTCAGCCAGTTGAGGGAGCAAGTGCAGGCAACAGGGGTGTCCTCTAGAATTGCCACCCACAGCACAAGGCTGTGTCTGAAGGATGGACATAAGGGCTTGGGGACCCAGCAGTTAGGGTTTGAATTCTTTCTCCCTCTCAGCCCTGGACCTAGGTGACTTATATCTCCGAATTTGCCCCTCTACAAAATGGGAAGTGTGTCCCACTTCAAAAGGTTATTGCAAAAAAAAATCACTTCTAATAGGGAAGTATTATATAAAATAGTTTCCAAAATACATCATTTTGGCTGAGAAGCAGAGTGTGGTGAGGGAAGTAGGCCTATCATAAGCAAAGGCTTTCGGCTTTCAGCTGCTCTCCTCTGTACTCCCTTTCCCAACTTCGCCCACAGCCCTAATCTTTAAAGAAAAACTAATTCAGAAATAACTTTGGATTTACATAGAAGGTACAAAGAAGTACAGCCTGCTCTTGAGCACACCTCCCCAGCCCCCTTTGATGTAGCTTCGGCAATAATCACAGCACTGTTATCAACGCTACGGAACGGACACTGGCATGATACTGTGACCTGGACCAGGGGCTCTGTTTGGATTGCGTCAGTTTTTCCATTCCCACCCATCTTCTGTTCCAGGCTCCAATCCAGGATCCCACACATTGAGTCATCTTGTCTCCTTAGCCTCCTCCAATCTCTGGCGATTCTGCTATCTTCCTTGGCTCTGACACTTCTGAAGGGCACTAGCCAGTTATTTTATAAAAAGATCTCAATCTGTGTTGGTCTGATATGCTCTCACAATTAGCCTGGGACTGGAGGTTCTGGGAATTCATGGCACAGGGGTGAAGGGTCCTTCGCATCCACCCTATTGGGATGCATGATGGCAATAAGACTCATGAGGGACGATGGGAATCTTGGTTATGATGATGTATAAAATTGAGTTCCATCTCACTTATCTACTAATAAAATTTGAAAATTTCTAGTATTTCCTAATATGTCTTTTCCTGTTCCATGCCATCTTCTCCCACATACTTAGAGCATACCGAGAGTGCTGTGTCTAGTGGGTTGGTGGTCAGGCCCGTGAATGAGACAATGAGTCTTCCCCATAGGAACAGCGTTCTTGAGATGGTAAAGATGTATTCATTCAGAAGAGATGTGTGGGAAGATGTAAGCTAAAGTTGATTGTTATTTAAAATAAGATCCAAACAGAAGCAGGGGGGAAGGGGAAGTGTATGCACAGCACGGTCAAGTGCTGAACAAACACAAAATGGAGAAGCCACTCCCTGCTTCAGCGTATGAAGTGTGGTTGCACATGAATGCATGGTCAAGGGGGTGGATGGAGTCTACCAAGTGAACACTGCACAAAATCAAAGTTGGCCAGAACAGTGGGTCACACAGTTACCAATGCACAAATAATTTTTGCTCCGTTTTCAAAACTAGATTTGATTCATTCAGTCAGGGCACCAGGATCTGCATTTCTCTTTCATTTTCATTTTTCGAATGTGTGTGTGTGTGTGTGTGTGTGTGCGAGAGAGAGAGAGAGAGAGAGAGAGAGAGAGAG